ATTCCCAATGCAGCAGCATAGATGTTAAAATGTAAATCGAATAACATCACTCTTCTGCTCAATAGTCTCCAGTGGCTCCCATTCTCACTCAAAGTCAGAGTCCTTGAAATGGTCCACAAGGCCCTACACAACCTGTTCCCCACCCCTCCAATCTCCCTACTATAATTCCTGCCAATTTCCCCCTCATGCGTTCGAGCTGTGCTGAACTCCTTGCTGTTCTTACAACAATGCTATCCTCGGTTCTGCCTCAGGGCCTTTGCATTGGCTTTCCCCTGTCTGTCACTCTTCTCCCAGTCAGTCATGTGGTTTCCTTCCTGATTTCCTTCAGGTCTTTACTCAAATAGTACCTTCTTAGTAAGGCCTTCCCTGACCACCCTACTTACAGCTTCAACATCCCATCACCAGCCTCTACCTCTATCACCCTTTCCTTCTTAATTTTTCTCCACAGTGCCTATCACCATGTTCACTAGTCTACAAAGGCTAGGTTATTCTGTGAGAACTCTAAAGTTCAGTGGCCTACAGTTAAAATTAATTTTTCGCTTATGCAGAGTCCACTGCAGAACATGTTGCTTTCTAGGCAGCCATTTTCCAACCGTGACCCAGTGATCCAGGATGTTTCTATTTTGTGGCTCAATAAGTGCCTTCCAATGGCTACAGCAAGTGAAAAGAGCTCGAGGGTCAAGGACCAGCTCTTAAATACTTTGGTCTGGAAGTGACATGTCATTTCTGCTCACAGCCCACTGGCCAAAGCTCATCACTAGGCCCCAACTGCAAGGAACTAGGAAGTCTGAGGAAGCTTTGGTGCCAAACCATCTGACATTCTATATATGTTGCTTATTTATTTAATGTCTGTCTCCTTCCACTAAAGAGTTCCATGATGGCAGGGATTTGTGCCAGTTTTGGCTACTGCTGTATCCTCAGTGCCTAGTAAACTGACCAGAATATTTGTGGAATGAATGTGGGAATGAATGAAGCAATGAATGAGCTGAGTGCTGTAATGGAGTTAGACCATGGGGAGAGCCATTCAGCTTTGCATGGAGATATAAGGAAGGCTTCCAGAGAGGTGTTATTTGAATGGACTCTTGGATAGGGTAGGTACTTACCAAGGAAAGAGGAAGTGAAGGACAGAAGGGCCAATATGTACAAGGCCCAGAGGCATGAACAGCTCTGCCCACTGAGAGGAGGGCCAGGCCCAGATCCAGAAGAATTGGAAATATAGAGACAGTGCAGGGAAATGAGGTCCGAGAGGTTGGGGGCCAGATTGTGCCTGGCCTTGAAGACTATGCCTAGGAGCCTGAACTTTATCTCAGGAGAAACAGGATACTCCTGAAGGCCTTCAGGCAAGGGAATGAACGTGATCACATTTGGGCAAAGATCGTGAGAAACTTATAAAGCGATGAAGAGGGCCATTCTCTTATTTAAAATTCTCTGCTCCCCACCAACCTTGGAACTGGTCCCTATCCTAAAGAGCACCTAGCCTTTAATGGACTGGCCTGATTTTTTTCTGCAGCCTCCTCATTCCCTCCACTTACTCATAACAGCCTCTGCTACTAGCATGCCAAGTCCAGACAGATCCTGAACATGCCATGGGATGTCAGACCTCCATGTCAAAAGAGACTTGCTTACGGTCAGATGTGCAGGAAAAGCCTGTTACATCTCATTTGAGGGCTCCTTCTACTCTGCCACATGCTTAAAGTAACTCATAAAGTGCCCATGATGGGTGGTAGGTGCTTTCCTGTTTGGGTATTGTCACAGAGTGAGCACTTATTAATACTAGCTCAAGATTTTCCTCCATCCAGAGAAGAGGTCTCCATCTTAGGGGCTTCTCCAATGTCAGCTCCCCAGGCTGGTAAGGGCAATGATCTTGGCCCCAGTTGTGGTCCTGGGCCTTGTGGGATCACCCCCAACAAACTAGCATCTGTGCCTCCCATCCCCAACAGGGGAAAGAATCACATAGTTAGGCCTGGACATTCCAGTTTAAATGTTGACAGGCCACACACACGGAGCTAAACCACATGGTCGTACTAAAGACCCTGAAAGAAGGCCACCTCCTGGAGTTTCTCACATATAGCAGTAGCTTCTGGCAGCTTCCAAGAGAGCTGTTATTCCTGTCATTTATGAGAGCAGAGAACAGTAATACTGCACACCCTTCAGAAGCTCCTCCTACCATTGATGGGGCAGAATAGGATTTGATTCCCCTCCCTTCCTTTGTGTCTATCCCCAAACTCCATCCCAGAACAAACAAACTGAGAGAGAGCTCAGTGGTAAGAAAAATTTTTTTTTTTTTTTTTAATCTATTAGCAAATAACAGCACAGCTATGGTATGAGGTCAGCTCAATATTAGCAAGAGAAAGATGTGTTTGTTTTATAGGTGTGTTCGTTTCAGAAGCATCTTACCCTGCCCTCTAGCTCCACTGAGGGGCATACTTACTGGACTTGACTAACGAGCTAGGATCAAGTGAGAGGGGCAGAGGGGCAACACTGTGTATGAGGAGCGGATGGGGGATGGTACTTGTTAGCAAAGGAGACCAAAAAGAGAAGTCTCCCATATACTGAGTGAAGCTTGGACCCTAGGTGACTGGATGGAAAAATAAAATGTTTTTCAGTATCTAGAGCTGTTCTACTCTGTAATACAGTAGCCTCTAACCACATGTGGCTATTGAGCACTTGCAGTGTGACTTGTCTGAGTGGAGGTGTGCTGTATATATAAGGTAAACACATTTTGAAGACTTAGTATAAAAAAGAAGTACATTAGGGGTGGCTGGGTCGCTCAGTTGGTTAAGCATCCAACTTCAGCTCAGGTCATGATCTCGTGGTCTGTGAGTTTGAGCCCCGATTTAGGCTCTGTGCTGACAGCTTGAAGCCTGGAGCCTGCTTCAGATTCTGTGTCTCCCCCCCCCCCCCTCTGCACCTCTCCCACTTGCACTCATCTCTCTCTCCCTCTCTGAAAAATAAATAAACATTAAAAAAAGTACGGTATCTCATCAATTATTTCTTTATATTGAGTATATGTTAAAATGATAATATTTTGGATATATTGGGTTAAATAGATTATATGATTAAAGTTAATTTCATATTTATGCATTTATTTTTTATTTTATTTTTTAAATTTTTAAAAGTTTACTTATTTATTTTTTTAATTTTTTTAGTTTATTTATTTTTGAGAGAGAGAGAGAGAGACAGAGTGCGAGCAGGGGAGGGGCGGAAAGAGAGGGAGGCAGAGAATCCAAAGCAGGCTTCAGGCTCTGAGCTGTCAGCACAGAGCCTGACGCAGGGCCCAAATTCACAAAGCATGGGATGATGACCTGAGATGAAACCAAGAGTTGGATGCTTAACTGACTGAGCCACCCAGGAGTCCCCAGTTTATTTATTTATTTTGAGAGAGAGAGAGTACACAGGAGGGGCAAAGAGAGAGGGAGAGGGAAAGAGAGAGAATCTCAAGTAGGCTCCACGCTGTCACAGTGCAGAGCCCAATGAGGGCCCTGAACTCAGGAACTGTGAGATCATGACCTGAGCTGAAATCAAGAGTCAGTAGCTTAACCGACTGAGCCACCAAGGCACCCCTCTTTATACTTTTAAAATGTGGCTACTAGAATATTGTAAACTATACACGTGGCTTGTGTTGTATTTCTATTGGACAGAGCTACTCTAGACTGCCTATGGATGACAGTTGATAATAAGATTTCTCAGCCTTATAGACATGACGAGCTTTAAGTCAGGGGTCATATGAGCTTAAAATTCAACTTGCTTTGTAGCAAATTAGATTTTATTTTTCACATTTGTCAAACTATCTTTTAAGAAGATTAAGTTCCTATAAAATCCTACCTTCAGGAATAAAATTTCTAGAGATTGAAATGAAAATATTGCAAGAGTGTCTGCCATATTCCAAGAAACTGTAGGCACTTTTAACTTTATTCCTAAAGAAAGGGAGTTGATATGAATTTTGTGGACTATAGAAAAATATATTCAAGAGATATTAAAAGTACCAACGGGCAAACACGCTTTTACAGGGATGAACGATATTTAATTGTCCAGCTCTTTCCAATTTTTTTCTACCTTTGTTTTCTAATCTGTGTTTTCACTTGGGGCTTGAAAAACAGGAAAGAGGCAGAAGGGTACCTCTAACAATGTCAAAAAGGGTCTTATGAGAGCGTCTCTGTAAAGACATGTGGTTCTCAGGCTAGGATAACATAAAGGCCTCCTCATGTTCTGCTCACTATAAAGTCAACAAACCTGCAGCTGAAATGCCTTCCTTCCTCATGTGTCCTCCAGGGCTGCTTTTACTGCTCTCTGCCTACTCTCAAGTGGACACTGCATTTTTCTAAAAAGCCATATCCCTGGGGCGCCGGCTGGCTCAGTTGGTTAAGCATCTGACTTCGGCTCAGGTCATAATCTCATGGTGCGTGGGTTCGAGCCCTGCGTCGGGCTCTGTGCTGACAGCTCAGAGCCTGGAGCCTGCTTCGGATTCTGTGTCTCCCTCTCTCTCTGCCCTTCCCCCACTCCCACTCTGTCTGTCTCTCTCTCTCTTAAAATAAATAAATAAATATTAAAAAACATTAAATTTTTCAGAGAAGAAACTGAGGGTTGATGGGGGAGTAGGGGAGAGGGGAAAATGGGTGGTGGGCATTGAGGAGGGCACTTGCTAGGACAAGCACTGGGTGTTGTATGTAAGCGATGAACCGTGGGAATCTACCCCCAAAACCAAGAGCACACTGTACAAACTGTATGTTAGCCAATTTGACAATAAATTATATTAAAACTTAAAAAATAAAATACAGTAAAAACCATTAAATTTTATTTTAAATTATTATTATTATATTTTATTTTAAATTAATGTTTAACTAATAAACATTAAATTTTTTTTTTTTAAAAAGCATATCCCTAAGAACCCCCCACCTGTCATTCCATCACGTTAACCGATTCCAGGTGCTACATAAGAAGAAGGGCGCTTGGGAGACAGGATAATCAAGGGAGAAAAAAATCTCGAATCTTGACCTCACCTTGTGCTCAGCAGATGTCCCGTGGACATAGCGGTGAGCTCCCAGGCCTTGCAAGATGCCCAAGCCTCCTTTTGCCATGTTTACCCGGGAACTGTCCTCTGTGGTGGGGACCAGACTCCCTGCAACCATGGTAAGGCCTGAAGTGTTGATTGTCAGCGTTCGTTCAACAGATCTGAAATAGTTCAGAATTCCTAAACAGACGCGCTGAAACAAAGAAAGACCAGGTTAGGCCCCTGCCCTTTGCTGGCCCCACACAACAGAGTAAAACTGAATGGGGTTGCCAGGTCAACCCTACTGCTGAGAAACACACCACCCCCAGAATGGCCTGATTTTGTGGAAAAATATCCAAACAAAGAACAGGTGTAAGGATGCATTGCTACTGGAAAAGCAGGAAAGCCGCCTTGGGAGACAACCCAACATTTCAGACACCTGAAGCCAGCATGCCATGCCATCCACATACCTGCAGCTCCCTTATTCTCAGGTGGCGCAGATATAGAAAGGACAAGTAGGTCCCCCTCGTCAGGACAGGATCCCTATCGCTGGGCCCAGTCCCATCGTCCAAGCCGAGCAGTTGTAGGGCCATTGCATAGCTGTATCTTTAGCAGGCGGGAAAAACAGAATAAATGCTTTCCACCTCAAAGTGGTTCGGAAAATTCATCTACACCAAATTGAAGTCACTTTATTTAACTTAAGGGAGTTCCACAGTAGCTACTCTTTAAAAATGAACTAGAAGAAAAATAATTACTATGTATAAATATAAAAAGAAATTTCTCTTAGCAATTACTCTTGTTAAAAACCCAGTCCTACCTAGGGTGAAACATTAATTTAGTTGTCTGACCTGTTTTAACAGTCTTGCTTTTATTTCAGCTTTAAATATTTTTGAGTTAACATGTAACCTACTTATTATTCAGTCACTCAATTTCCTCCACAGTGTTTAATCCATTTCCTTGAGTCCCTAGTAAAATGATTTAATTTTACCCTTTCTCTTTTTTCTGCTTGACAGGCTTATCAGCATGTTGGCAGAGACTTATTTGTGCTGGGTCATTTGCATTTTGTTCCATCGCAAGGTCATCTTCCTTCATATTTTCATTCTATCAAAAAAGTAGTATCAGTTGAATGACATCAACATTTGCAATATTATTAACAAAAATCAGAGCTGGGTCACCACAAAATTAAATCCTATGATCCAAGGCATATTTAGATGAGCAAACAGAAGAGCATCTTGGTCCATTGCAACATGACATATGAAAATGGGGATTTCCAAAATAAATTGGAAGGCACCGTTTTTATTATTATTTAGTCTCTGTTTTATAAAACTCTTCACAGCTTTTAAAAATTGCCACCCCACACACACCTTTTACATGATTCACTTATGAAAAGTTGATACACACATTTGTAGATGCTTGAAACCATGAACGTCTCTAATCTAGTCTTGTTCCAGGCTGAGAGAGATCAGTGGGTTAAACACCTCTTTCTACTTTTGACCTATATGATTTAATTGTTTAAAGTCTTGATCCTGTTTTCACACTTGTAAAATGGCATAATGATACAAAATAAGCTGCTGTGAGAATTAACACTTAGTGACTAGCACCTCATAGGTGCTCAATTACATGCTGGCCATGGATTGCAATAGTCAGTTAGCCCTGTAGGATCTATCACAGAACTCGTGGTTTATACTTAAAAAATCCACAGGCATTTTTCCTGATGTCAAGCAGGATGAGATCACACACAAAGGGCCCTAGGAAAAATTGTGAAGAAGGTGGTATTGATGAATGATCCTGTCCTTGGCCCTCTGAGCAGCCCCTTTCTTAGCTGTCCTTTCTGCCTGCCCCTGGGCATAAATGTCATTCTCATAAGACACTCTTTTTTCGTAGCGGTGCTGATACCCACAAAAATTCTGAGTGGCAATGAGTTAATTTGGAACCCCACTCTTTGGGTTACTTATATTCTAATAGTTCTTGGAATTCCAATAAGGCCCTATGGCAGAGACTGCTGGTTGTTCCCCCATATCCGCTTTCCTCTTTTTCTATAGTAATTGAATATTTATCTTGACACATAGCCACCCAGATGGAGATGACGTTTCCAAGCCTCTTTTGCAGCTAGGTGTGGCTATGTGACTAAGTTCTGGCCAATGGAATGAGAGTGAAAATGTCAGGTGGCAGCTTCTGGGAATTTCCTTGAAGTGGCAGCTTCCTCACCCCCAGTGTCCATCCTGCCACTTATGTATGAATGTGACAGCTGGAGCTCCATCTCAGACCAGGTGTTGATCTTGGATATGGAGGCCACATTTGTTGGAACTCCAGGACAGAAGGAGCATGGGTCCCTGAGAACTCCATGGGAGCAATCATCACACTGTCTCTGTACTTCCCACCCCTGGATGTTAATATGAGGGAGAGAAAGAAATTCCCATCTCCTTTCACCCTCTCTTATTTTGTGTTTAACTATGACCAACAGCCAAATATAATTTTAACTAATACAGTACTTAAGATTCTAAAGATACACAATTGGTCTTTATGACGGGCAGTGGAGGAGAAAATTTGGAGCAGGGATACTAGGAAGAGCTGGTGAGAAAGAAAATGGTCTAATTGAGTATCGTTAAGTAGCTTCCCATTCTGCCTGTGGATAGTTAACTCCTGCCTGTTTTGGGTAAGTATGCACATCAGTGTATTTCTGTGTAAACATCCCACAACCCTGGGAATGGAAAAGGCTTTAGGAGGCGACATGGTGTACTCGCGTTCCTGAATACAGAAACACAAGATCATTACCCCAAATTAAGAGAATCTCTGTTATTTTAAGAAAATCTGTAGGGAAGAGTGTACTCTATGAGGAAAGCTGAACTTTGACAGTTTCTATTTGGCCCAGAATTTTGGGTAAGAGGGGCTCTACTGAAGACTTTTGCCCCCCAGCCTTATGGTGCTCTTATGTTGCAGTTCAGCATTGCTGGGCATAGGTCCAGAGGGCAGGCTCAGAACCACAGCCTTTCTCTGATGGGACTGTGAGTTTTTCAGCTGCTTCTAAAATTACCCAGAATTACATAGGAAGGAACAGAAAGTGACATCAAGTTACAGTGAAAGACACTTTGAAGGAATGACTGAACAAGCCACAAAAATACCCAGCAGACTGCCAGGAAGAGAGGAAGGGGGCACAACAGGGTAGGGTGAGTAACGGGAGAGAGCCCAGCACCCACCGGAAAAACAGAACAACCACAGCCCACAGAAGTAAACTGCTTAGGAAATACCAAAGGTGCATGAGTGTATCTCCCTAAGAAGGCTGGACACTGAGCAGGTAAGCAGCAGGGCTGACCGGAAAACAGAATGTCAACACCACCTGCGTTTGTACTTTCTTCCGAGGCAGGTAAACCCTTTGACATTTACTCTCCCTGGTGGCTGGGTCTTTGCCAGCATGGCTGAGTTCGTGTATTTGGACAGTTCTGAGACTTCTACTGATTGAAAATCTCATTTTATTCTGGGAAATTGGCAGGGGCAATGGAGTGGGAGTGGAGGGGGAAAGAATTAGAAGGAAAATAGGTCTATTATGTATTTCCCACCTCCTAAATGTCCCTGCAGCTTCCTTGTGTATACCTACAGAATAAAAAGACTAGAGGGATAAATGTATACCAAATGTTAACAATACTATTGTTATATTTGGGTGGTAAAATAATGGCTGGTTTTTATTTTCTTCCTTGAACTTTTCTATATTTCCCAAATTTTTTATGATAAATACATGTAATTAGTGTCAACAGAAAATGTTTGTTTTTAAAATGCCTTATTGAATTGATGAGGGAAACCAGAAAAGAAGTGTTTTATGTGTCCCTGAACTTCTTGCACACTGGAGCTACTGTATATAATAACACTTTTGTGAGGGCACACCATGTACTCATAATATCTCTGGCAATGGAGGGGAGCAGTAACACAGGGGAAAACAGCTGTCCCTTCTCCTCTCCTCCGTATGGCCAGTAAGAAGAAGCAAAAGTAGAGGTTGGGGGCACCTGGGTGGTTCAGTCAGTTGAGCGTCCGACTTTGGCTCAGGTCAGGATCTCGTGGCTTGTGGGTTTGAGTCCCACATCGGGCTCTGTGCTTACAGCTCAGAGCCTGGGGCCTGCTTCAGATATTTTGTCTCCCTCTCTCTCTGTCCCTCCCCTGATCATGCTCTGTCTCTGTCTCTTCAAAATAAATAAACATTAAAAAAAATTTTTTTTAAAGGAAGCAAAAGAAGAGGCAAAGTTGATCTAGTGTTTTCTGCCCCTTCAGCATTCCATAAAGTTAAAGAACAGTGACCATTTAAACCATACCTTTAGAAATATGATGGTCTAAGGGACTCTTAGATATAGAGAACAAACTAAGGGTTGCTGGAGGGATTGTGGGTGGGTGGATAGCTAAATGGGCAATGGGCATTAAGAAGGACACTTATGATGAGCTCTGGGTGTTATATGTGAGGGATGAATCACTGGATTGTACTCCTGAAATCATTATTGCCCTATATGCTAACTAACTTAGATGCAAATTAAAAAAAAAAAGATATATGATGGTCAATAGTAGTATTGAATGTCTGTACATAAATAACCATTGGAGTAAACAGGGATTTTCTTGGGGAAAAGCACTGGATACAAGTAACTTGATATGATACAAGTTTGGGAGGTTCGGGAAGATCCACACAGGGCTGCCTGGTCTATTCCTTCTCCTGATTAGGACTACAGTTAAATTATTTTTAAGTTTTTTTCAGAAGGCTATCAAAAAATGCAGTCCATTTGGACCAGAATTACCTCTTTCTAGTTATAAATTATCTTCAATTAACAATTATAAGAAGATTTGGTATTTTTTTCTTTATCCCCCAAACCCAGATCTTTAAGTGAATTTGGAAATAGAATTGTGTATAAAGAAAAGAGTGGCCAGCCTTCCATGCTGATAGTAAATAAAAGGCCAATTCAAACTGTGCTAGAAACATTACAAATATTATCAATGTTCAGACAAACACATTCCGTGTTAAAATGGACGTGGGAAAGCAGGTTCTCTCATAAGTTACTGTTTGGGAGAAAAACGATATACCACTTTAGCAGGAAATTTTGAATGTGCACATTCTGTAACCCAGGAAATCCACTTCTAAATATCTACTCTAAAGAAACACACACGTGCACAAGGAGGCATGTACAAGAAAATTCAGTAGGAATGGTTTCTAATGGAATAAAAAATGGCAACACTTATCCACAGGGAGGTGTCTGTGTGATCTGTGGTATATAATAAAATATAGTGCAGCCATTAAAAAGAACAACAGAGACAGATCTCTAAGAGATATTATTGGGCAAAAAGGAGCAAGTTGCACAAAGATCCATGGCGTATGACAGATCATGTAAATAATTTTTTAAAGTTTATTTCTATCTATTTTGAAAGAGAGAGAGCAAGTGAGGGAGGGGCAGAGAGAGAGAGAGAGAGAGAGAGGGAGAGAGAGAGAGAATCCTAAGCAGGCTCCATGCTGTCAGCACAGAGCTGGACACAGGGCTCGATTTCACAAACCTTGAGATCATGACCTGAGCAGAAATCATGAGTTGGGACACTTAACCAACTGAGTCACCCAGGCCCCCCAATGATAGATTATTTACATACAAAAATAAAACACAAAATTATGCTATATGTATATATTTTAACGAGAACATGCGTTTAAATGAAAATGCATTAAAAAGGCTTGAAGCCAATAACCATGTTAACCTCTGAGGAAGTAGAATGGGGACCCAGTATTAGAGTTCCCGTTAGCTAAAGTTAAAGCATTAACTTTTCAGTGATGTTTCCACTTTTTACTAGGAGGAGACATTTATTTATTATTTCTGTAGTTTAAAATTAATTTCTAACAACTTCTTAAGGAGAAAAATGGTAACTTTACAGTGGAAAAACCTGGCAAACATTGTTAGCCTAACCACATGATCAAGAGTAACATCCCCAGTGATATATCAGGTTGATAGCGTCTGCTTCAGATATGATGTGATGAGAAAGGCACTTCACCTCTGAGGTGCTCATCCTCCAAACTTATAACCCCAGTATAACCATGAGAAAAACATCAGACAAATTCAAATTAGGGAACATTCTACAGGTTGCCTGGCCAGTACTCCTAAAGACTGTCAAGGTCATGGTAAACAAGGAAAGACCGAGAAATGGACACAGACCTGTGGAGACTGGCAAACAGGACACTTAAAGATAATGTGGTACCCTGGAGCACAAAGAAGACATTCATGGAAAAACTAGTGAATTCCAAATATAGTCTAGTTTAGATGTCAGTAATGTACCAATGCTGGTTCCTTAGGTGTGACAAAGTAACATAAGATCAATGTTAATAATAGGAGAAACCAGGGGCACCTGGGTGGCTCAGTCAGTTGAGTGTCCGACTTCGGCTCAGGTCATGATCTCACAGCTCGTGGGTTTGAGCCCCACATCGGGTTCTGTGCTAACAGCTCAGAGCCTGGAGCCTGCTTTGGATTCTGTGTCTCCCTCTCTCTCTGTCCCTCCCCAGCTTGCACTCTGGCTCACTCTCTCTCTCAAAAATAAATAAACATTAAAAAAAATTTTTTTTAAATAATAGGAGAAACTGGACAGGGATTCCTGGGAACTCTTTACACTATCTTTTTAACTTTTATGTAAATCTAAAAGTACTCTAAAATAAAACATTTATTTTCTTTTAAAAAAATCCCTAAGGAAAGGCTGCTGGTGAATAGTGTTCACAGAAAATTGATCAGAAATTGTTCTGAAGTTGTGCTATACATAATTAGTGCTTATATTCCTTCGGAGCTGTTCAAATGGACAGTCCTACCAGGTTTGCTTTCCTTCATGCAGAAGACGCTTAAGAAAGTCATTTTTCATGGGCTATTATCACTTGCCAACTTCAGAATCAGAATGCTGACCAGCATATAGATGCTAAAATTCATACTTGACTGCTACATGCTTGCAAAATAGTAACAGAGCTTTAAAATTCATACCCACATTCCTATGACTCCTCCCACCTGCCACCTTCCACTTAATTCTAATCTCATCCGACTAGTATTCAACATTCAGAATGGCATCACACTACTATTGGTCCCCTGGTACTGTATAAAGTGACTCTTGACCAGAGCAGATATACCCAAGGAGGTCACAAAATAACACCCACAGGAAACTGTGAAGGAAAAGTAGAAAACTGTTGATTGTTGCCTCAGAATTTCCTTTCTCAGACACTGTGCTATTTTCCATTCTCTACTTGGAAAACTCTTCTCCAGTATGGCTGACTCCTTCTCATTCATCAGATTTCAGCTCAGATGTCCCCAACTGTGAAAGAGCTTGGTTGATCATTCTGAGAGTGCTCCTTTCTACCCTACTGCCCCCTTTTCCTGTGGTTTTCTTCATGGAACCCACAAGTTAGAGACGTAGATTTACTTTTTTGTTCACTTGTTTATTGCATGTTTCATTCCCTGAGCAGCACAATTCCTGGCACAAAGGCAGCATCCATGTAATAATCATTGAATGAATGAATGAATGAATGAGAAACTTGCATGACACTAACATGCAGGTTAATCCATGTGTGTTATATGGCTCCCCTCAGGATCCACCTCTAAAATCTACAGGTATTCTAAGTCTCTTTAGGGTGTATATCAACTTGAAAAGAGGTGCTCACATTTTTCTCCCTTTGGCTAATTCCAAGAACAACATTTACAAGTCAGTCAATAGCCAGAGGAAGTGGTTTTCTTTCTTTTCTTTTTTTTCCCTCCTATTTAACACTAGGCAATTGCATTCACAACAGATTTTGGTGAAAGCAGACTGCATTTCATCATACCCTGCTTGACTTTCTCCCTCATCTGCAAATGGAGGAAAGCAGTAACAGAGAATGGCAGAAGTGTTAGTTCTCTCCACTGGGTGGCTGGGCACCTCTTAGTGTTTTCTGCCTTTCAACATTTACTTGAGCCAGCATCTCCTGCTGTCACCATGTACCTTCTGCTTTTCCCTGGTAAGTTCCTTTGTCCCCTAAATACCCATAGGCATTGTTACAACTCTGGCCTGCTGGTCCAGCCGGACCCTGGACCATTCTCCATGAATTCAAACATGAAGCTCTTTGCCTCTGACTCCCTCTTCCTTTGCCTCTCACCACTCCCTTACTCATATTAACCTCTTTTCACCCTCATCTGGCCCCCAGGAATTTAACTGCCCCCATTCTCTCAGTCAAGGAGAAAAGAATATTAGTGCTAATGGCCCTCAAATATTAATACCAGAATTTCAGGTAATGGAGGATTATATCAGCATCAATAGGTAGACTGTCCAGGATCCTAGGAGCAGGGGTCTTATTCTGAGATACCTGGGCTGACTTTGCCTTCGCCCCCTCCCTTCTTTCCTACTCCCTACCTCCTTTCCTTCAAGCTTGGTTCAAGAAACAAAAGAGCCAGATGTTTTTAAATGTCCCCTTGTTAGTATAAGGTCTTCCTGCAAGGTGACATATACCTTAGTATGAAATGGCAATGGAATAGGAAAAATGTGGCTATTTTCTCAATTCTTGCAGGATGCTAGCTGAGGAGTGCCGTTGGTAGTCATGCCCTATCAGAGAATTCAGAGGCCAGGGAGATCCATGCCATGATATGCTGTATCTGTTCCTGATCTGTGTGACCAAATCATTTTTTATTAGGTTCTCTAGATCCTTACCTAAACAGATTGAAAAGTGCATAGAAGTTGTGGTGTGTTTGTGTGTGTGTGTGTGTGTGTGTGTGTATACATACATGCACTTACAGGTTTGCTTCCAGCTAATCTGTAACTCATTTCAAGTTTCGCTTTCTCCCATACACAGTCTGAGATGATGGACCATGACAGTGCTCTCTCTAGCATTCTACTAAACTTCTCCATACCTTCGACTTTATGTATAATTTTTAGTCACTCTACAATTAATCTTTAGGGGTGAAAATAATAGGATTATTATGCAGATTGGGCCCAAGACAAATTCAGGCCCTCTTACTTCAACTGAACCCACTAGCTACATGGTCATCCTTATATTCTTTTCTCACTGGTGGCCCTGTGGTGTTCCCAGAAGTGATATACCTCCTCACCTGTCACTTTCACCTCCCACCTCACTAATGCAGACATCCTCTCCCTCTTCTCTCTCTCCTGGAGACAGGAGACAGCCAGAGCCATTTACAAGCTACCACACCTTATCTTTTGGCACGTGACAATTCTATATACCTCATTCACCTCAAGGGAAGTGATGCCATTCTCCCTTTCTCAAAATTACTCCTTGGACTGGTTTCTTCATTCCATTCCCTCCTCTTTCCCCAGGGTCCTTTTCTCAGATTTAACAATTCATATCTTCCATCCCTTCCTCTCCACTGCTCATTCCTCTCAGACAATGAACATATTGAGTCTTCCCATCTTAAATAAGCAAAGGAAACAAAACTCTTCCCCTAGAGCAACAGAGAAATAATAGCAGATTATTCAAAAGTGATATAGTACCACCGTGAAGACAAATATCCAATAGCTTTGTGTAGAAACTGATTTTTGTTGCCAAGCTCCAGGCCCATCTTATGTAGTAGCTATCTGGCTGGCTTCCCTGCCTCCAATCTCTCCCTCTTCCCATCCAACTAACACCTGCTACTAAATTAACCTTCCTACAAAATACAGCTTCGTATATATCACTTCCCTTACAGGAAAAGTACAAATTCCTTGGTCGGAAATTTAGAGGCATTCAAAACCTACTCTCTCCCCCTCTTAAAAACACCTCTCTTCCCTATATGTATTTCCACATGAATCTTTCATGCAGCCAAACTGGACTTGAACACTCCACGCACAGTATCTCCTCTGCATTGTTGTTTATGCTTCCCTCCCGAATGTGATTCCCTCTCCAGCACCACTTCCCTGAGCCCCACGATTCCGTCAAGTCCAGGCTCAATTTCCTCCTTTTTCCAGAGGCTTTCTCCCAAAAGAACCAACCCTGGGGGCACCACTTTGCCTCTAAAACACACCACTTTGCCTCTAAAACAATATTTAACAACTGTCCAACTCATTTGGTGTTTAGCACTAAGGAGTGGGGGCCCCTGGGTGGCTTCGTCCGTTAAGCACTAAAGTGTGAAGCTTTGCATTTGTATGTATTGGTTGAGTATAGGTCCCGGCAGCAACATCTTGTATTACACTTCTTTATATGCCTGTTTTTAATTAGCATTTAAGTGTATTAAATGCTAATTATATATGTGTGTGTGTGTGTGTATAAATGTGTGTGTGTGTGTGTGTGTATATATATATATATATATATATATATATATATATATATATATATGAAATAAAAACAAGCCTGGCTGGGTAGTAAAGCTTTTAGGGGGAGGGTCTCTGCAAAACTACCAAAGTAAATTTCTAAGGCATACACACAGGTGGTTCGTAGAACAGAAAGGCACATTGGTTATTTCTTCCTGTTGTACCTGGTACAGGTTGGTGTTGCTATAAATGTCCTCCCAGATACTGTCATAGTTGCACTGATGCAAACTCTGGGAAGCCACGAAAGCTGGATGAGATGGAGCCAGCATGACTGTCTTCGCCGCGTGGTCTTGGAGCACTTGCATCACTCGCTCAGGGCTGGAAATCTCAAGGAGTACAAGGGGGAAATGAATGGTTGGGAAAAGCGTTATTCCCTTCTTTTCAGCAAGAAGGTGGTCATGTACACACGAATAGGAAAGCAGTCCCAAGTGGGGCTTTATTCAGTTAAAAAATAAAATCATACTCAAACATCAAGATTCCCTTACATATGTCCATCCAAGTAACATTGTAAGTATTCAAATACACATAGGAGCTCGTTTAAAATTGTGTGACAACCCTTTAAACACAATAGCAGGTTGCTCCCCTAGAGGTGTTGTGGGACCAGTGAAAATATGAACACCCATCATTTTGGGTACAAACCCTGTTTGCTATTAGGAAGCTGACAGGAGATAGAGGAAGAAGAAGCTGGGTAGTGTGAGGGAAGCCCAGGCTTTGTAAGGATGCAGACTTGGGCTTGCATCTCTGCTGGAATCCTGTTCTTGTTCTGTCCTAACAAGAACACTAGGATGTATCTCCCCAGATTGCTGCAAGAACGCCTGGCATGTAGTAGGTACTGAATAAATGTTCCTTCTTTTCCGGAAGTAAAGAATTAAATAATAGTCCCAACGCTGAACTCCTGCTGCAGTGATACAAGTATTATGGAATTTCAATCATTTTAATATCACAAGGAACTTCAAATATCATTTAGTCCAATCTCTAATCAAAATCCCAATGGCGTTTTTTGCATAAGTAGAAAAATTCATCTTAAAATTTATACAAAATCTCAAGGGACTCCAAATCGCCAACATAACTTTGAAAACGAAGAACAAAACTGGAGGACTCACACTTTCTGATTTCAGACCATATTACAAAGCTACAGTAATCAAAATGGTGTGGTATGGGAATAAATTGGACGTATAGACCAACAGAATAGAATAGAAAATCTAGAAATAAACCCTCGAGTATGTGGTCAGATGATCAAAAGATGTCAATGTCATTCAACAGAGAAGGGACAGTCTCTTCAACAAATTGTTTTAGGACTGGATATCCACATGCAAAGCAATGAAGTTAAACCTTTATCTTATACCAGACACAAAAAAATTAACTCAAAATAGATTAAAAATCTTAACATAAGACCTAAAACTATAAAACTCTTAGACAAAAACAGGGAAAAACCTTCATAACATTGAATTTGGCAATGATTTCTTGGATATGACACCAAAAGCACAGGCAAGAAAAAAGCAACATAGACAAATGTGACTACATAAAACTTTAAACTTTTGTGCATCAAAGGATACAATTAACAGAGTGAAAGTCACCTAGGGAATGAGGGAATGTATTTCCAAATTACATATCTGGTAAGAGTTTAATATCCAGACTATACGAAGAACTCCTACAACTCAACAACAACAAATAGAATAACCCAATTTAAAAATAGGCAAAGGACTTCAATAGACATTTTCCCAAATATGATATACAAATGGCCAATAAGCATATGAAAAGATTCTCAAAATCACTAATCATCAGAGAAATACAAAGTAAAACCAAAATGAGATATCACCTCACATCCATTAGGATGGCTAATATCAAGAAAGACAGGAAGAAGGAGAAGAAGAAGGGGGAGAGAAGGTAGTTGGGGAGGAGAGGGAGGAGGAGGAGGAGAAGGAGAGGGAGGGGGAGACAGATGGGGCATTGAAGGGGAGGAGGAGGTGAAGGAAGAAAGAACAAGGAAGGAAGGAAGGAAGAAAATAACATGTGCTGATGTGGATGTGGAGCAATTGGAACTCTTGTGTACTGTTGGTAGTATTGTAAAATGCTGATATTTCTATGGAAAATAAAAATTAAAAACAGAATTACCTTATGATTCATCAATTCCACTACTGGGTTTATATCCAAAAGAATAGAAAACAGGGTCTCAGAAAGATACTTACACATCCATGTTCATAGCAGCATGATTCATAATAGCCATGAGGTGGAAGCAACCCAGATGTCCATCAACAAATAGATTTTTAAAAACATGGTAGATACACACAAGAGAATATTATTCAGCCTTAAAAAGGAAGGAAATTCTAATGTCTCCTACAACATGGATGAATGTGGATGGGTAAAATAAGTCAGTCATAAAAAGACAAATACTGTATTATTTCACTAATACATGGTACCTAGAGTAGTCAAACGCATAGAGACAGAAATTAGAATGGTAGTTTCCAGGGAATAGGGAGAGGGAAGAATGAGGAGTTATTGTTTAATGGGTCTACAGTTTCAGTTTGCTAGATGAAAAGTCCTGGAGGTGGACAGTGGTGATGATTATCCAACATTATGGATGTACTTAATGCCACTAAACTGTACACTTAAAAATAGTTAAAACAGGGCAACTGGGTAGCTCAGCTGGCTAAGTATCCAACTCTTGGTTTCAGTTCAGGTCATGGTCTCACAGTTCGTGGGATCAAGCCCCATATCAGGCTCTATGCTAACTGTGCAGGGCCTGCTTGGGATTCTCTCTCTCCCTCTCTCTCTGACCCTTCCTTGCTCATCATGAAGTCTCTTTCTCAAAATGAATAAAGTATCTATATATGTATATGTGTGTGTGTGTGTGTGTGTGAAGAAAACGTATGTATGTGTGTGTGTGTGTGTGTGTGTGTATAATGGAATATTACCCAGCCGTCAAAGAGAATGAAATCTTGCCATTTGCAATGATGTGGCTGGAGCTAGAGTTTCTTGTGCTAAGGAAAATAAATCAGTCAGAGAAAGACAAATACCATATGATTTCACTCCTATGTGAAATTTAAGAAACAAAACAGATGAACATAGGGGAAGGGAAAAAGAAAGAGAGGGAGGCAAACCATAAGAGACTCTTAACAGTGGAGAACAAATGTAAGGTTGGTGGAAGGGAGGTGGTTAGGGTTGATGGAGGGGTGTTGGGTGGGGGGATGGGCTAAACGGGTGTTTGGCATTAAGGAGTGTGCTTGTTGGGATGAGCACTGGGTATTCTATGTAAATGATCAATCACTAAATTCTACTCCTGAAACCAATATTACACTATATGTTAACTAACTAGAATTTAAATAAAAACTTGAGACAAACAAAACTAGGTAAAATAGTAAATTTTATGTCTATTTTACTACAATCGAAGAAAAGAGGGGGAAATAATGTAAAGAGATCCCATGTACTCTTCACTCCATTTCCGCCAATGTTAACATCTTGCAAAACCATAGTACAGTATATCACAACCTGGATATTGACCTTGATACAGTCAAGTTATAGAGCAAATGCATCACCACAAGGATCCCTTATGTTGCTCTTTTATAACCACACTTCTTTCCCTTCCTCACCAGCCTCTCCTTAGCCCCTACAATCCACAAATCCATTCTCCATTTCTATACTTTGTCATTTCAAGAGTATTGTAGAGGGGCGCCTGGGTGGCTCAGTCGGTTGAGCGTCCGACTTCAGCTCAGGTCATGATCTCACGGTCTGTGGGTTGAGCCCAGCGTCGGGCTTTGTGCTGAGGCTCAGAGCCTGTGCTCAGAGCCTGGAGCCTGCTTCGGATTCTGTGTCTCCCTCTCTCTCTGACCCTCCCCTGTTCATGCTCTGTCTCTCTCTGTCTCAAAAATAAATAAACATTAAAAAAAAAAAAACTTTAAAAAAATTAAAAAAAAGATTATTGTAGAAATGGACTTATACCATCTTTATGCGATTGACTTTTTTTCAGTCACCTAGTTCTCTGGAGATTCATCCAGGTTCTTGGGTATATCATTAGTTTGTTCTTTTTTACAGCTGACTGCTATTCTATGGTACAGATGTACCACAACTAGTTCATTTACCCTCTGAAAGACATCTGGGTTGTTTCTAGATTTTGGCTATTGTGAATAAAGCTGATAAAATGTTTGTGAAAAACAAAAGGGAGAGGAAATCTGGCCACATGCTACCACATGGATAAATCTTGAGGATACTACCCTAAGTGGAATAAGCCAGTTACAAAAAAGACAAATACTATATGAGTCCCACTTATAAGAGGTATCTAAAGGTAGTCAAATTTAGAAACAGAAAATAGAATGGTGGTTGCTAGGGGTTGTGGGGAGGAGGAAATAGGGAATTGTTGTTTAATAGGTACAGAGTTTCTGTTTGCCAGGTGAAAAAGTTCTGGAGATCTGTTTCACGATAATGTGAATATACTGAACACAACTACGTGCACATAACATGATTACTATGACAAATTTTATGCTGTGTGATTTTTACCACAAGAAAAATAAGATAACTTCATCCAGTATTTCTGTTTCACAGATGAGGAAACAAACTCAAGGACGTTTTGTGATTAGACCAATGTCACACAGAGCATTAGTGCTGAAGCTGGACTGAAATGCAGCTCTTTTGACAATTGTTACTTTCTACTGAAAACTAACAGGGCTATAAAACTTTTGGAATTAGATTAGAACGTTCCAAATAAAGCTTTCATAGAAAATCCATGGCTAATATTTCTTTAAAAGGGAAAGAAAATTCAATTTTCTGAGAATGATTTTAGCAAGAATTTTATCTACAAGGGAACATGGTTATTTTCTTACCTTCAAAAACTTTGCTTGGAGTTGCATTAATGCATCAATTCTTTTCCGTTCTTTTAGTTTGGTCAACATCTTCTTTTGCCAAGGATCACATTTTGGCTTAATCTAACGGACAAATATGTTCATACAAAGTTACAACATAACAGAATGGTTCTAAAAAAAGTTGCAAGCAAAGAGATTCAAGGGCCTTCTGAAATGGGATCTAATCTTGGTGCTAGAAAGTTTGCCAAGATCATGGGACATCTTAGAAAGGGTCTGCATGGGTTCACAGATCCATGGAGGGAGATGGCAGCAGCAATTCCTGTTGGTGCCTGGCCTACGAGATACATTACTAGCTTCAACTGGGAAGACACAGAACCATCCATGAGCAGGAGGGACCCTAAATCCATCAGTGTTGGGCACCACACTTGATTTATGGGGCAAGAAAAGTGTGACCACAAATACTCCACAGTAAAAATTTACCTTCTGCATTAATAGGGTATATTTCAAAAACTAGACCCATAGCTGTACATACATCAACATACTCATAACTCTCAAATTTATATCTAGCTCTAAGCTCCAGTCTATTATATCCAACTATCTCCTTGATATCTATAGTTGGAAGACAAATGTAACAATCTAAAACAGAAAGTCTGGCTTTTCCCATACCAACCACCTATTTGCTCAAGCCCCAGGAGATTTCTCTCCTTTCCCACCGCCCATCTTACCATACAAGACTTTTCTTTCTCTCACAACTAGTTGATCCTCATTATTCATGGATTTTGTATTTTAAAATTTTCTACTCACTAAAATTTATTTTTAAAACCCAAACCAATAGTAGCAGATCTATCCAGGTTATTCATGGACATGCAAAGGATGGTGAAAAATTGGAGTCATCCAACCCCACATTCCCAGATGAGGTCAAACAAGGTGACATTCTGCCTTCTTGTTTCAGTTCTCATACTGTAAACAAGTTCTTTTTGTTTCTACATTTTCATGTTTTTTACTGATGATGTCACTGCTTAAAATGGCCCCTAGGTATAGTGCTGAAGTATTCCTAAGTGTTCCTAAGTACAGGAAGGCTGTGATATATGTTATAGAAGATATACATATGCTTGATAAGTTTTTTTCAGGCATGAGTTATAGTGCTATTGGCCACAAGTTCAATGTTAATGAATCAAAAACATATATTAGTCTTTAAACAGAAACACACATAAATCAAGGTTATGTATTGATCAGTTGACAAATAAACCTTGTATTTTCCCTATGAACAATGGTTCTGTATTTGTTAATTCAGTGTTTGTGGCAACTTTATAGAACATAGTAACCCCAAACAATGAGAATCCACTATACTTACCACTACCCAAAATCATCTTGTTTAATCTGCTTCTGTATTGTTTGTAAATTGTGTATCTCCAGCACCAAGGGTCATGCCTCACACATAGTATATACTCAATGAATAGTTTTTGACTAAAAAGCTGGATTTACACAGCTCACTTATACCTTTGAACGTTATTCTTTGTTCTAGCCAAGTAGCCAAGACCACTAACAACAAGAGAGTTCTGACCCAATAGAGAGTACAGGATCATGGGGGCTTTTCAGAGAAGGCAGGTCAACATGGCTAACTTCAACATGGACCCAAGGCAGGAAGGAGCTGGGGGAGATTGGTGTACCTACCGTTGGTCCTACGGGACAGTTTGCTTAGGGCACTGAGGCGAGGGGAAAATAGGGACCCGACAGACCTGGTGCTACCAGGTTGCTTGGCCTGCTTGTAGGACACTTTATGACCATGCTGACATCACTGACAGGTGACTATCACTACAGGTCTCTTTACCTTTATAAATGAAATCCAGTTAGCTTTCTTTTTCAAGGCCATACCAGGTCCTGCCAAACCCAAATTCTCCATAGTAGCTATCTTCGCATCATAGTCTGGAAATGTTTGCATTCTCTGTTGCTCCATAAAGATGCTTTGAAATTTTTGGGAAACCTAAACAGGATGAAGGCAAAGTTTTTCTTAAAGGGTCAGATAGCAAATATTTTAGTCTTTGCAGACCATATATATGGTCTCTGTTGCAAATACTCAACTCTGCATTTGTGGTATGAAAGCAGTCATAGTAATATGTAAACTAATGGGCATGGATGAATTCCAAAAAAACTTTATTAAAAAACAAAACAAAACAGGTGGTGGCCTGCAGCTGTCATTTGCTGACTCTGCTCTAAGGAATTAGAGAACCAGAATAAACAGTACCCAAATATAAGAACTCTTCCTACACGAACAAAAAATTGTTGTAATGTGATTGATTATCTTGTGAGCACAAGCACTGCACATAACACTGTTACAAGAAAATCAGAAGTGGAGGGGGCGCCTGGGTGGCTCAGTCGGTTAAGCATCTGACTTCAGCTCAGGTCATCATCTCGTGGTTCACAAGTTTAAGGCCCCGCATCTGGCTCTGTGCTGACAGCTCAGAGCCTGGAACCTACTTCAGATTCTGTCTCCCTCTTTCTCTGCCCCTCCCCTGCTCACACTTGGTCTCTCTCAAAAATAAATTTAAAAAAACGTTCAAAATAATCAGAAGTGGAAACTATTGCTATGGAAAGGAAACAAGCTGTTCTTTTGGAACAAGTTTGCTCAGCAGCTTCATGGGTTGGTTGGTTGGTTTGTTTGTTATCATTGATGATAGCTACTGTGTTATCATTTATTTTTGTTTATTTTGACTCTTTTAAAAACACCGTCTTATTCCAATTCCAGTTTTTGTTTATCACAATGCTTGCTGATAATGAGGGTAAGGTACTCCCTAGAAGGGCTCTGCTGCAAAGAAAGGCAAGAGCTGAAACATCATCACCTTCAAAGAAACCAGAGGACATGTGATACCACCGGTTTCAGGGAGCATAAAGAGACCATGTTACATATTAATAGAAATAATCCTAGTAAAATCATGCTGGAACAAGCACACATGGAAGTGAAAGTTGAATGTCAAGGCAAATGGTGACAGGGAGGACAGTGGCTCCTTCTTACACAAAGAGCATTCAAACACATTCAGATTTTAGTTTTGCCTGTTTGGATCAATCAATTTACTATTTTTCCCTAGTGAATACATATACTTGCAAAATTCCACACCCAGACCTAAAGTAGTATCTTTATTGTTGATGCTTTGGCTGAAAACTTTATATTCTAAATTTAAAGCTATCCATACATAATTCTATTTTTTCCCTTTGAAATGAGTTTTAACATGGTTTCTATTAATACGAGTTTTTTTTTTAAAGGAAGTGCAACACTGTGTTACAGTTCAGCAGACTGCATGACTTTAAAAAATTACTCATAATATAAAACTCTATTGAATTTAAAGAATTTTTGCCAATAGGAGAGCTACTACAACACATTCCGAGAATCGAAGGGCTCAAGACACTAGACAACTCCATTATGCAAATCTTCCAAGTCTTGGCTACTTTTATACCATCTACTATGGACTATAAACTACTCTTTCTTTAAATTCTACAGAAAAATAGGGGCGCCTGGGTGGCGCAGTCGGTTAAGCATCCGACTTCAGCCAGGTCACGATCTCGCGGTCCGTGAGTTCGAGCCCCGCGTCAGGCTCTGGGCTGATGGCTCAGAGCCTGGAGCCTGTTTCCAATTCTGTGTCTCCCTCTCTCTCTGCCCCTCGCCCGTTCATGCTCTGTCTCTCTCTGTCCCAAAAATAAATAAACGTTGAAAAAAAAATTAAAAAAAAATTCTACAGAAAAATAAATCCTGTGATCCTTCTGTGTTGTATATTCAAGAGACCCAGTACTCTTACAGAGGGGAAGTTCAAGTGCTATCTAAATCTCACCTATTACAATTAAATTTTATCACTCTAGAAACAATTGAGGCAGGATAAATATCCAACTTTGTGGCAAACAGTAGTGTTTTCTTTCACGAACACCTATCTTTGTATTAAGAAAGAGCCCATCAAGTACCAAATTAAAAAGTTCCATTTCCTTAGTAGCATCCCTTAGCTCTTCCACGTCATATGGGATATTAAAATGGGAGAGCAGGAGCCTCAGCTGGGGTTTCAGTCCTTCTCTTTCAGTCACGTGTTGGGGCAGGGAGAAAGCAGCTTCTGTTCTTGTCAGCCCTAAAGCAAAGCAAAGCAAAACAAAACAAAACAAAACAACCAAAACCAAGAACACTAAGACCAGTAAACACTAATCAGGGAGGGAAAATGGAGTGTTCTGCGAGATAACTGAAGGCAGGAGCTTCTCTGTTCACAGGGAGGCCCATTCTGCTCTTTGCCCAAGCTTCTCTGGCACAATTTATAGGCCAGGCCATCCTGGGCCATGCCTATCTGACAAACCCTTGATGCTGGCTTTCTGGGGGAAGTAGCAAGGACCACTCACCTTCACACAGCCTGTAGGAGAAACCCAACAGACCCTTTGAAGAATGACTTAGTGGGAGAACTACCTATAGTCCTTTGTGGTAAACAAAGATTATGATTTATAAATTAACCAACAAATTAGAAGAAAGTGAGAGCTTTTATCTCCTTTTGCCTGGCTCACTCCTGCTCATTTTTAAGGACCCAGTTCAGACGGCCTTCCTCTGAGACGCCTTCTTTGATTCCCTACAACTAAGATGGCTGCCACTTTGGGTGCTCCTGTGTCACCCTGTACATATCCCAAGCAAATATGCCACTCAGAGTAGAAACCTGATTAGGTTTCTTAGTTATCTATAACACAAGGTAAGGGCAGGAGGACCATTAAATTGATTCAGATAAGGAAATTATTTTTTAAACATGTAACAGTAAAACTGAAAGAGACCTTAGGTATCACTTAATCTGAAAGGTGTATTTTGGAGATGAATAAATTGAAGCCCAAAGAGATGAAATGACCTAAACAGGCCCACGGTGAGGCCACCACAGAAATATATCTGGAACCTAGTACTCTCAACTTCAAGTTCATTGTTTTTCTCCCTCTCTCTTTATTTGCCAGTTATAAAGAGGGAGATAATAATGTCTAAGAAAAGTATTTTTCTTATTTTTTCCATCATAAAATATTAAATTAATACTTGTTTATTAAGAAGATATAACTTCTTGGCTTATAGAAAAATGTCAAGCAAGATCAATGCCATAAAACAACACATGTGCAAAACCACAATCTTCTTTCTCCACATTACCCAAGGAGAGAGAAGACTGATTTCTTACCTGAAATGCTGGTATCTACAGGGTCTAGAGATCCAGAACTCTGGATATTAGGGTCGATGTCATCAACACATACATTTTCATTCTCCTGACAAGCCTCAGGAAATTCATCAATAGCTACACTCAGCACTTTGGAGATGGGCAAATACTGGAGGGACTATAGAAGGGCACAACCAAGAGGCCACATGTCAACTCAATTCTCACAGAAGCTTCCAGACTTAGGTTCAGGAGCAGCCCTTTGCTTTGATAGAGGAGGAGATAGAGGTGGGTCTTAGTAACCTGCTCAAACATGGGGTGCTAAATCTGGATCTGGGAGACTTGTTGTGGTCACCAACACTAAGCAACCTGAACCTCTAAGTGGGTCTACATTGATCATGCATCCATTATGGACAAGACACTGTGTGAGGTATTAGGGATACCAACAAGAATAAGACATGGACTTGGGGCACCTGGGTGGCTCAGTTGGTTAAGCCTCTTGACTTTGGCTCGGGTCATGATCTCATGGTCCGTGAGTTTGAGCCCCATGTCGGGCTCTGTGCTGATGGCTCAGAGCCTGGAGCCTGTTTCAGATTCTGTGTCTCCCTCTCTCTCTGACCCTCCCCCATTCATGCTCTGTCTCTCTCTGTCTCAAAAATAAATAAACGTTAAAAAAATTATTAAAAAAAAAAGAATAAGACATAGACCAGCCTCAAAGAGTTCACAGTTTAATGGGGGGACAAAGACTTATGAGCACAGTGTTATTATGTCATGTGACTGGGGAGAGAGGACTCACAGGTAGACACCATAGTGACCAACTAGGGAAGGACTGAAGTTAGGATGATGGCCAGTTTTCTGGTTTGGGTAATTCAGTGGATGGTAGTATCACTGAGATGAGCCATAGACGAGTAGGAAAAGATTTAGGTAGCAAAATAATAATCTTCCTAAAATAGACATATGATCACATCACTCCTTTCTGATGCCTCTAGCCTGGGTTACAGCCTCTCATTGGTGACTCTATTTACTCTGTGATTATACTTATTCTGTTCTTTTCTATTCCATCCTATTCTTTCTTACCACATGGTATTTCAGTTGAATATTTACTTGCTCATTTCCCTTCCAGCCTGGGACCCAGTTACTTTTTTCAGCAAAGCCCATATTGTTGTTTCATGGCCCTGGACATGTACCTGGCATGTATTAGACCCTTATTAGATACTGCTGAATGAAAAAGCAGATCTAAATGGGACATCATATATTCTGAACAAGATGATGAGAATAAGAACTTGCAGAGTGAATATGAAATAATACAGCAGACACATGTTTGAAAAAACTAAATTAATGGAGTGGTTTCATTAGAGCAAGTTTTCAAAAAAAACGTTTTCAAAGGTTTCAAAGAAAAAAGCTAATGACTATTTTCCTGTCATTCGTAGGGCAAGGAGAACAAAGAAGCAGTGACAATCCAAAAGTAGGTGACAGGTGTGAAAAAACAATGCTGACCATCATGGGAGGGCACTATATTATCATATAACTACGTTTCACATACCCGTAGGTAGTGGTGAACAGTCCTGAGCGAGTGTAGGTGACATACAATCCACTTTGTGTAAATAGTCAGGTCTTCTTGTGTCACTAAGTTAGAAGGATTGTTTTTTCCCAGAAGGAAGTTTTCTCGTGCAACAGATAATCTTTCAGCTCTCTGAAGGGCATCATTGTATTCCTGCATAATGTAGGCAACTTGTTTCTGTTTAAGAGGAAGGCAGAGTCAGAACACGATTATTTGCAAGCTGTTCTCTTGTGTCATTTGCTTCCAAGCATAGGCTAATGCTGTTTGGGGGCCAAATAAGAGGCTCCTAGAATATCAAAATTCTTTCACATTCTGAATTTGACTGACAAGGGCAGCAGTCATATTCTTAGGAGAGAGAGAAGCAAAGAGTCAGTGCATTGGATGTTTGATAACTATAGGGGGCTTCTTAGCTTTTTATCTATAGCACAGGAGGCCAAATCCATGAAGAAAAATGCATTTTCTTTTTTTTTTTCAGTATATGAAATTTATTGTCAAATTGGTTTCCATACAACACCCAGTGCTCATCCCAAAAGGTGCCCTCCTCAATACCCATCACCCACCCTTCCCTCCCTCCCACCCCCCATCAACCCTCAGTTTGTTCTGTTTTTAACAGTCTCTTATGCTTTGGCTCTCTCCCACTCTAACCTCTTTTTTTTTTTCTTCCCCTCCCCCATGGGATTCTGTTAAGTTTCTCAAGATCCACATAAGAGTGAAACCATATGGTATCTGTCTTTCTCTGTATGGCTTAGAAAAATGCATTTTCTATCATACAAAAGTTCCTTTAAATCTCATCCTTAAAAATAGTTGCCATTATCTTCTGCCACAGGCAGAACAGGTAAATAGGTGCATCCATTAGTTCCTTTACCATCTTTAGCCGTGACTTAAAAAAACTGAAAAGCTACACTGTTGAAAAACAGTATGGAGATTCCTCAAAAAATTAAAAATAGAAATATCATATAATCTAACAATCCCACTTCTGGGGACATATCTAAATAAAACAAAATCAGTATCTCAAAGAGATATCTGTATTCCCATGGCCACTGAAACATTATTCTCAATAGCCAAGATACAGAAACAGTCTAAGAGTCTGCTTATGGATGAATGAATAAAGAAGATGTGGTATATTACACACAATGGAATATTATTCAGTAATGAGAAAGAAGGAAATCCTAACACCTGTGACTGACGTTAGGAATGGACTTGGAGGATGTTATGCTAAGTGAAATAACTGAGACAGAGAAAGACAAATACTGTATGATTACATGATGATTTTTTTTAAAAAGTTGAACTCATAGAAGCAGAGAGTAGGACAGTGGTTACCAGGGACTACAGAGTGGAGAAATATTGGTCAAAGGGTACAGATTGGCAGTTGTGCAAGATGAATGAGTCTAGAGATCTAATGTACAGGTATGATGACCATACTTAATAATGTGTATTGACAAGCTTATTGATCATTTTGTTTCATTATAAAAAAGAGGGGTGCCTGGGTGGCTCAGATGGTTAAGCATCTGACCCTTGATTTTGGCTTGAGTCATGATCTTACAGTTGTGAGATAAAGCCCTGTGTCAAGCTCTGTGCTGAGTGTGGAGCCTGCTTAAAATATTCTCTCTCTCTTTCTCTCTCTCTGTCTCTCTCTCTTTGTGTCCCCCACACCACTCTTTCTCTAAAAAAAAAAAAAAAAAAAAAAAAAAAAAAAAGCCCATAGGTTCTGTTCTTGAGATTCCTACCTTGTAAAGAGGATAAAGTTGCTCCATAATCTTACTGTGCCGGCAAAACCTCTTCCATCTAAGCATGTGTAAATATTTACTCTGGGCCAGCTGGGTAATTCTCTCTGTATAATACTTTAACAAAAACAATGATAAAAATTAACACTTAGAATACAATTAGAGTAGAAAGACTGAAGTCTTAAGAACACTAACAATAGGAAAATCACTCTCTGGTTGCTTCAAAATGATGGATTTTTCCTACACGAAGATCATAAAATTAAGAAACCTGGCTCAAGACACCATTAAAATTTAAATGAAGCAAGTAGTTATTTCTAAATCTATATGATATGTTGCCAATCTAATAGATGGTACTTTATCATTTAGTCAACAATTTTAGCAGTGACATAAAAGCCTGTACAATTGTCTAAGGCTACACTGAAAATTTCTTAAAAACTGAAGTTATAAGTCTAAAAATACGAAGCACATTATAGGTAAAATTATAGCTTTTAATCTTAGACCAGAAATTTTATTTATACTTAAAAATAGTCAAATAAACCAACCATTTTTAATGTTTTATTTATGATAATAAATATAATACTGGCCATGATGGAACAGGTAGGAACAGACTCATCCTTCCATCATAAATAACTAGAAAATAGGACAAAATAAACAGGACAACTATTTTCTGACATAAAACAACACACAATGCAGGACTGTGGTCCTTGAAGGACACAAATGCTATGAGCCCTATAATCACCTTGGTTTTCTGCCTGAAGAAGGCAGTTTCTGAACAACAGAATAAGAGAGGAAATCCCAAACAGAGCACGGCAGTCTCTCTGAGTTAAGGAGAGAGAAATTGAAGCTTCAGAGGCTGAGTCAGCTGGAATTTGCAGGGCAGAGTACTGGAGAGAGGGATGTTGTGCAGAGAAAGGGCTCCAGAAATCTGCATGGAGATTTCTTTGAGTGTTTTGCTGACTATTAAACTATGCATACAGAGGGTGAAACTCCATGAGGCCATGCAAAGAATAACTGACTAGGGAAGTATAAACTGAATAGTTCTCACAGTTCATACAGGGACAAGAAATGTTCAAGTTCCAGTTAAAGGGAAGAGTCCTCATTGCCACCTGACACGTTCAGTGGAGACACCAGAAGAGTCACACTTTAGTAATAAGGATAAATGATCTTGAGTGAAAGTTAGTCTAAACTTGATCTAGCTTGATACCAAGCCTTGAAAGTATGAAGCCGATCTACAACTTAAATGCCTGTCAGAATAAACTCTAATAGTCTTTAAAAGGAATTTAAAAAACCAGCATTCATTGCTGGAGGGGTTGTGGGTGAGAGGGGTGGGCTAAAAGCATAAGGGGCATTAAGAAAGACACTTGTTGGGATGAGCACTAGGTGTTATACATAGGGAATGGATTTCTGGAATCTACTGAAATAATTATTGCACTATATGCTAACTAACTTGGATGTAAATTAAAAAAAATCAGCATACAAAAATGTAAGATTGAAATGTGCAGTGTCAAAAAAAATTACTAGACATGCAAAGAAGCAGGAAAATGTGACCCAAAAGCAGGAGAAAAATTAATGAAGAGAATCAGACCCAGAAATGGCACCAGTGATGAAATTAGCGAATAAGAACTTTAAAAGAGCTAATATACTAATATGCACAGCATGTTCAAGGACTGAAAGGAAGGGGCACCTGGGTGGCTCAGTCAGTTAAGCATCCAACTGTGGCTCAGGTCACGATCTCATGGTTCATGGGTTCAAGCGCCGTGTCGGGCTCTATGCTGACAGCTCAGAGCCTGGAGCCTGCTTTGGATTCTGTGCCTCCCTCTCTCTCTGCCCCTCCCCTGCTCACATTCTATCTCTCTCTTTCAAATATAAATAATCATTTTTTTATAAAAATGATTAAAAGGAAAATGTGAACATAATAAGGAGAGAAATGAAAAATACCAAAAAAAAATCAAATAGAAGTACAAAAGAAAACTACAATATATGAAATGAAAAATTCATTGGATATGATTAACAGCAGCTTAGTGCAGAAGAAAAGATCAGTGAACTTGAAGATATAGCAATAGAAACTATACAAAATGAAGCACTGAGGGAAAAAAAAAGACTGAGAATAAATTAACAGCTTCGTTGACTTACAGAATGATACAAAGTGATTGAACAAATGTCTAATCAGAGTCCCAGAAGGAAGGAAGGAGATGGAAAATATATTTAAAGAAATAATATTTGAAAACTTTCAAAAACTGATGAAAATGATAAAAATCACAATCCAAGTAGGTCAACCAACTCCTAGCAAGAGAAACATAAAGAAAAACTCATCAAGGAATACCACAGTCAAATAGCTTAAAACCATTAGAGAAAATCTTTTTTTTTAATTAAAAAAATTTTTAATGTTTATTTTTGAGAGAGAGAGCAAGCACAAGCAGGGAAGGGGCAGAGAGAGAGAGGGAGACACAGAATCTGAAACAGGCTCGAGGCTCTGAGCTGTCAGCACAGAGCCCGATGAAGGGTTTGAACTTGAGAACAGCAAGATCATGACCTGAGCCGAAGTTGGATGCCCAATGTACTGTGCCACCTAGACACCCCTAAGAGAAAATCTTAAAAGCACCCATAGAACAAAAGGACACATTGTGTTAGGAAATGAAAACTATCTATGCCAGAAGACAGTGGAGCAACATCTTTAAAGTGACAAAGGAGAAAAACTATCAACCTAGAATTTTACATTCAACAAAAATACCTTTCTAAAATGACGGCAAAATGAAGATTTTTTGCAAAAAAAAAGCAAAGACAGAGAATTTATTCATGGCCGATCGGCAGTACAAGACATGTTAAAGTCTGTTCTTTTTTTTTTTTTAAGTTTATTTATTTATTTTTGGGAGAGAGCGAACACAAGCAGGGGAAGGACAGAGAAAGACACAGAATCCAAAGCAGGCTCCAGACTCTGAGCTGTCAGTACAGAACCCAACATGGGGCTTGAACCCACAAACTGTGAGATCATGACCTGAGCTGAAGTCAGAAGCTTAACTGACTGAGCCACCCAGGTGCCCCTAAAGTCTGTTCTCTAGACAGAAGATAAATTATATCATATGGAAGCTTAGGCTACACCAAGGTTTCTTAAACCCAGCACTATTGACATTTGGGACTGGATAATTTGGGGTGTGGCTATTCTGTGCATAGTAAAATATGTAGCAGCATCCCTGGCCTCTACCCACTAGATGCCAGTAGGAATCCATTCCTCTCCCAAATTGTGACAAAATGTCTCTAGACGCTGCCAGATGTCCACCATCTCCAGTCTCCCCTTCTCTTCGCTGACAATCACAGATATACACCAAAGAATGAAGAGTGCCAGAATGATAGGAAAGTGAATCTTAGATGACGGTAATGACAAAAGTTTAGGTGGCAAATAGAATCTCAACATCTTTTATTTCTTTGTGATTAATTTATTCATTAATTGCTAGTTGCTAATGAACTAATTTGTATGCAGAGTGAGAATATAACTCATAACATAAGAGTAAAGAACAAAGAGTTTTAAAAACCAAAGCAATACATGCTTATTATAAGCAATACATGCTTATTCATTGTTCTGCCATCCAAAGATAGTGATTGCTAACATTTTGGTCTACGTCCTTCAAGTGTTTTTTCTATATATTATATGACCGTTATTATGAAACACACACACCTTAGTTTTTGTCAACTAATATTACATAATAACAGAATAGTTTCTTATGCTAAGAAATGTTTTAATGGTAGAACAATATTCTATCCAGTATTATGCTATTTTTCTTAACTCTCCTATTGTTTGATATTTAGGCAATTCTGATTTTTTCACTTTTATTGTAATGTTGCAATAATAATCTTTATGGAAAATGTTTTCTACCATATTTTGAGTTATTTACTTAAAATACATTTTCAGAAATATATTCCCTAGCTAAGTCAACAGGTTTTGAGGGCTGAGACTTTCTTAGCATTGTATTGCCTCATAATACCAGCACAGGGAGTAATCGATAGAAACTTAGTCAATAGTTTAGTGATGATAACTAAATTTCTATTAATTTCCAGATCTGTTTTTCAAATTGCAGCATGACTCTTACTTACCTGCAACAGAAGCAAAGGTAAATTTTCAGGAGTGTACTCTCTTCTTAGGCAGCTCTCTAGCTCCCTCTGCATGACATCTGCTTGAACAACAAGGGGCTTTGACTCAGCCACCTGAACCCCCAGGCAGCAGAACAGGCAAACAAAGAAATAAGGAAGAAAAATTACCATTGTTTACGACAGCAAATGATATTCAATTTCTGATAGTTTTTACACAACATGTTATACTGTTATACCTCGGTTTCCAAATAACGAATTGTAATAGCACGAATCAAGAAACTGTAAAATTTCAAAACATCACAAAAAATAGGTATCTCCAAAGAAGTAGTGGCCTACTCTGATCTAGCAGTGAGCATTGGGCTGTTTTGCTCTCATAACACTGTCAATAACATCAGCTGGTGTTTGATGAAAATAAAGTTTTCTTGCTAAATGTTTCAAAAAGTTAGCAAAATCCAGTGTATTGTTGTATTACAATACAATTGTGTATTACAATTACGCTCTCCTACTCACCTGTAAAGTTTTCTTTAGAGCCAATTCCCTTTCTCTTCGAAAGTAAGAAATGTCCTTGGGCATTCGAATAGAGCTGCAGAAAGATTTATGCAATAGAAGCTGTAATTATAGAAACTGTAGTAAACCAAATTATAGATAGGCCCTGATTACTCTTCAGAACTGCTCATTTCTAAATAACTATGTCATATTATACTGGATTATTGAGAGCATGTAAAGACCATGTGCTTCTGTCTTAGTCTGAATCTCTCTTGTGTCTAACTCATGTTTGCTAAGCCTTTCCATGGGCCAATTTTCCTTTCCTTCACTCTAACATGGTTTTTCCTACTCTCCTTGATTTACCTCTCTATTTTCAATTCCAGAGTACCGGAAGAAGCACAATGATTAAGATTCCCCCCCACACACATATTTCCTCCAGTAACCTCATCTCTAACGAGTACTATGCTTATCAGACATCTCTTTCACCCTACACAAAACTAGTATCAGTTTAAACAAGATGTTTTTATTGTTGTGTTCTTGCTAATTTATTAAACATGAAATACTTTGAAAATTATTTTAACTGAGTTGTACTGTCTGAACCTAGTCACGAAGGAGTTGTTTGCACCATGGGCTCTGACAGGAGAAGGCACAAGTAGCACAGCCGTGGGGCCCAGTAATGAAGGGGGACCCTGTGAAAGGAAGAAGGGAGCTCTCCCCATTGGGGGTAAGATATACTCCAAGGCTTGGCAGCTTTGGGAACATCAGAGTACAGCAACCCTGTTATAGACATCACTTTCTCAAGATAAACTTTGCAGACATTGGCAAGGAAGCCACAGCTGGTAGCTGTGAAACACATGTGAGAAACCACCTAGAGATTTGAGAGGGATTGTAGGCAATGAAATTCAGGTTAATGTTGTTCATATGACCCTATTAGTCCCCATGGGTAAGTTTTAAGGAAAGATGAAAATAGACTGTTCGTTTGTATCCTTGTCAGCAGGCCCTCTACCCCCACTATAGGCAGTGGTCCTGTGAAAAGACCAGACAGGAGGTCCCTCAGCTGCATGAGTCTAAGCAACTCACTGAGCCATTTGTGTTGAATTCCCAACTGAAGTTGGAGATAATGCCTCCCTATCTCCTCATATCTTGGCTTTGATGAAAAAAATGAGGCAAGCTCTGAAAAAGCCTTAAGAGTAAAAGCACTAATAAATCAAAGCTGTAGTTTCTGTGATTATTGGGTGCCTGAATCCTGGCTGCAACCTCATGGAGGTGGAGAACCAGTAACCAACTAGAAAGGGAACAGGCAGTCAGGGAAACAGAAGAAACCCATCCCTTTCCTGCCCTCTTGTCTTCTGATTTTTTTGGCATGCTGGAAGATTGAGCAGTGTCCTGGGCTTAGCTGCTTAAACCTTCTCTTATTCAAATCATGTTTTTCATCTCAGTTCATCTCCAAGTGTCTATGAATGACTTAAAAGAGTGGTGTGTACCTGAACCCGTAAAAATCCACCCATGTGTTCAATCTAGTATTGTTTATTCAGCATACAGTCATTCACCTATTCACTCAGCCAAGCACTTATGAGACATTTAACCACTACAAAGACCTGGGTTTGGGGGTAAACTGATAAAAGAAAACCAGAAAAAAAAAAAAAAAGAAAAATTACCAAGGCACCACTATACTACAATTCTTAATAAATTTTTGAATCTAGTGGGTAATGAGAATACTAAAGTGATTATTTGAAGTGTACATTTTCCATTTTCCTTGGACTCCAGAACCTAGCACAACACCTGGAAAATAGAAGGTGCTCAGTATTGATCGAATTAATAAGTAGATTCTTCCAGGTGCAGTGATAAGTGGTTTGGGGGGAGTAGAGAAATACAAGTGTCCAGAGATTTCCCATCACTCTATTCTAAAAAATAAAAGAGACTTCAGGAAGACTTTCTAACACATGTACAAAGAGGAGACACTTGTTTGACCCTGAGACACTGAAGCTGTAACAATATTGACACTTGATCTTTGTACAGTGTCTTCTAGTTTTCAAAGTGCTTTAACATGCATTACCTCACTTGATCCTTATAATATAGGCAAGGTACATATTTGTAACCTCATTCTTCACAAAAAGAAACCAAAGTTGAGAGAAATAATGACTTGCGTGGTTCCATTACTTTTTCGCTTCGTCATACAATCTTTGATCTGCTTCCTACAACCAGTGGCTTCAAATACAAATTATAAAACACACTAAATACTAGTTCTTCAGAATCATCTTTGGAATGAGGTAGTAATGCATGTATTTACTGCTTCTTTCCTTGATCTTCTTTCCCCAACCCTCACCATCCACATTGTGTTTACTTGGCTATTCAACCTAACAGGGACCTCATATTGTTCCTCTTGACCAATTGTAGCAATAATAGAAAGAGAGGGATTTGAAGGTCCTGAGCCCATGAGACTTGCCACTTAGGGGCTGATCTTTTTACTTGTTTCTTCAAAAGAGATTGCTATCATTGGATGCATTTACCTATAGAAAAGCTCCTAATAAAATACCATTTGCAGAATTCATTACCGAATATCTAGTATTATTTCAGTTTTTATATGCCTCATCAAAATCAAGGTCAAATTCAATTAAAATATTTTTGGAAAAAATGAGACCTCTTTGCACTTAGCATGATTTGTATAATAGCATCTGGGACTTTAAATTTTTGTTTTTTTATTTTTTTAATTTTTGAGAGAGAGAGACCGAGCATGAGCAGGGGAGGGGCAGAGAGAGGGGGAGACACAGAATCTGAAACAGGCTCCAGGCTCTGAGCTGTCAGCACAGAGCCTGACACAGGGCTTGAACTCACGGAGCATGAGATCATGACCTGAGCTGAAGTCGGACGCTCACCCAACTGAGCCACCCAGGCGCCCCATAGGATTTGGAACTTTAAAACAGTGGTATTTGTGAGCACTTTTCTATTTTCCTTGGTAGGATATTGCCTCTAAATGTCTTAGCAATACTAGAATACAGGAAAAACTCATGGCCAGCCGTAAAATCTGAGCTTGAGATAATGCCAATTGCCTATATAAACAATAAGAGGGAGCTGAGAGAGACTATGGGGTGAAAGTGGGAGCTGAAGCCCCTGAAGACCATGCCTTCTCACTTTACCTGTAAGCTTGATGAGTCTCCTGTTCTTCTATCTCAGACTTTAGTTCAGTCAGTTGCAAAGCCAGTTCTTTTTCTAACTGCTGGATCCTTTCTGTGGAAGCGATCTTATAAATTTCATCCATGATTTGCATTTACTGTTTTACCATATCCTGAAAAACAAAGAGTACAAAGTTTCTGTGGCTGACTGACTCCCTTGGTAACCTTTATCCAGTGTATGAAACTTTGTCCCTCTTTCTTCAAGAAGTCATGCCAACTTTGTGATAATGTACGCTTTTGCAATTTGAGGAAACAGGCTGACTAGACTGTTGTCATTTATGATTTAATTACCATTTAGTAAATAGTAGAGAAAACAGAAATCAGAACCTCCATTGACTATGTTCAGCCCAGTTCACCTTCAGAAACATCCCTACTCGAGCTCTGATGATGGTGGTTTATTAAAACAAGAATGCCTCCCTCTGGCCCAACCTCTGCAGTCTTCATAAAGGCTTGTGGGAATTACACACTAAATGTTATTAACGGTGGTTAATGTGGTTAAGGTTGACTTATAGTATCACTTCAACTGGAACAAACAATAGGTGGGTACGGGATCCCTCTACATGCCTAGAGCATTTCTCCATAAGCCTTTTTTGAAGCCATGGACGTCTGACTAGGGAGAATTTATTGAGGATGGAAAGCAACCTAATATGATCATGATCTTTGCACTTTGGGATTTGCAAGAAAATCACAGTTATGCATTTAAATGTGCTTTCTTAACTCTGAATGCTTATATTTGGCATACTGCTTTTACCGTTAAATTAAATAGTTGATAATGCCTCAGCCCTACCCCATCCAGTTCACAGCCTGTCAAATACAACACAGTTATTTACTAAGAACTTAGTCAGTAATTCTCATACAACACAAATTAACTGCAAGACCCAGAATGGGTCCCACGATTTGTAGGGGATTCAGAAGATGATGTGTTTCCTGTGCTACTGCTGCTACTGTCCTGGATATGTGGGATGAACTAATTCTTGGGTCACATTAGACAGGTTTAAAATATTTAACCCTTCCCTTTTTGCTTTGACATTTCTAGATTTTCATTTTTTCTTTCAGAGATATTTCATTTTCACAAGTTAATCTGCTGTCATTCCAACAAATAATTAAGCTGTAGAGATGTTTTGTGTAGAGGCTTCCTTTGGGGCTTATTTATTCTTTTTATAAATATTAGGAATGGAAATGAGCATGCATGCTCAGTCTAGGTTGTGAACCTGCTGGGTAATAAATCTGTCATGTTTGGCACACTGCTGGAGCTCAAAAAAATGCATTGTTGTTCCTAGCAAAAGTAAAATGTTGTTATGAAAAATATTTGCCACTTGGCAGTGTCCTTTCAAGTTGGGCAAACAGTGAAACAGCTGCCTTAACAGCTGCATTCCAATCAGCAGCCAAGAGTGGCAGCAACACAGGCTGGCTGATTCTTCTTGCAAAGGATGGACATTCTGCCTTCATTTCCTGATCAGTTTCAACACTTCGCAGCTCAGAAATGAGAACATTTAATCCCGCATCGTTTAGCTCACTGCACAGTGAAGTAAAGTATTCACAAAATTAACATCAGGAGAGGTCAGTCTTTGACAACTATCCATGAGATGGATCCAACCCAGAGGAATCCATGCCTGTTGAGCGCACACATCTAGTGCCAAAGAGACAAACAGCTCTGTGTATTGGAAGGCGGGATAGGGTGGATTCCATTAGTGAGTACCTACCTGTTCTGTATCAGGCAGGCACTGGGCCTTCTTTTAAAGTTCCCACAAAGAGAGTCTCAAACTTATTCAAAAGCTTTTTAAAAAATAAGTAAATTTAATTAATTATTGATTGTAACAAATAAAAAACCTGCTTAAAAATGGTAAAATCTAGGGGCACCTGGGTGGCTCAGTTAAGCATCCGACTTTGGCTCAGGTCACGATCTTGTGGTTTGTTGAGTTCAACCCCGCATCAGGCTCTGCAATGACAGCTCAGAACATGGAGCCTGCTTCTGATTCTGTGTCTCCCTTTCTCTGTCCCTCCCCTGCTCACACTCTGTGTGTGTGTCTCTCTCTCAAAAATAAATAAAAAATTTTTAAAAAGTGGTAAAATCTAAGCTCTCAGACAAAGATAGTAAGATTAGCTTGAGCAGTGTTTGTGGGTGTTCAATGGGTGGTTAAGGTGGGCTTTGATAGACTTAAAGAAGGCATGTTTAGAAGAGAAATACTGAGTAACTAGACTCTTCAGGAAAATACTGTGTCAAAAACTTCAAGGTGACTGACTACTAAAAGAATAAAAATGCAACACAGACCCTCTCAAACAAGTAGAGGTGGGAGGTAGGAATGAGTTTAATAAATCCAACAGAAATCAGGAAAAGAGAGAAAAAAGAAAAAAAGTATGGTAGAGATAAGTTCAAATGTATCAATAATTATAATAAATGTAAATGGATTAAGCCCATCTATCAAAGTAAGATTGGTATTATTTCTTCCTTAAATGTTTGGAATAATTCACCTATGAAACATCTCAGCCTGAAATTTTCTCTATGGGAGGTTTTTAAAATACAGATTCAATCACTCTCTCTTTTTTTGATGCTTATTTGTCTTAGAGAGAGAGAGAGAGAAAGAGAGAGAGAGAGAGAGTGAGAGAGAGGGGTAGGGGCAGAGAGATAGTGAGACACAGAATCTGAAGGAGGCTCCAGGCTCTGAGCTGTCAGCACAGAGCCCAACACAGGGCTCGAACCCACAGACTGTGAGATCATGACCTGAGCCAAAGTTGGACGCTCAACCAACTGAGCCACCTAGGCACCCCTACAGATTCAATATCTTTAACAGATTATGATTATTCATATTTTGTATTCCTTTTTGTGTTTATTTTAATAAATTTTTAAAAGAACATTTCATCTAAGTAGATAATTTTTTTGGCATGTTTGTTCATTCATAATATCCTTTCATATTTTGAATAGCTTTTTAAAGATATAATTAACACACCATACAATTAAACCACTTAGAATGTACAATTCAATGATTTTTGGTGTATTCACAGTATTGCATAACCACCACCACAATTCATCTCAGAACATTTTCATCGCCCCAAAGAAACCCCATATCCATTAGTAGTTTCTCCCCATTTTTCTGAGTCACCCTACCCCTAGCAATAGGCAACCACTAATCTACTGTCTACCTCTATAGATTTGCCCATCCTGGCAATTTTATATAAATGGGATTATCCAATATGTGGTCTTTTGTGACTGGCTTCTTTTATTTCACATAATGTTTTCAAGGTTCATCTCTGTTTTGGCATGTATCCAGTTAGCTAACATGCAGATATATCATTCACTTTTATGGCTGAATAATATTCCATTGCATGGCTGTACCACCTTTTGTTTATTAGTTCATCATTTGAAGGAGATTGGGGTTGTTTCTAGTTTTTGGCTATTATGAATAATGCTCTTACGAACGTTCATGTAAAAGTTTTGCCAGACTGTCTTTTAAAGCAGCTGCACCATTTTACATTCTCACCAGCAGTATGTGAGGGTTCCAATTTCTCCACATCTTTGTTAACACTTGTTATTATCTTTTTTATTTTAATCATCCTAGTGGATGTGAAATGGTATCTCATTGTGGTTTTGATTCCCATTTCCCTAATGTCAATGATGCTGAGTATCTTTACATGTGCTTGTCGGTCATTTGTTTATCCTCTTTGGGGAAATGACTATTCAGATTCTTTGCACATCTTTACTTATTTATTTATTTTATTTTTGAGAGAGAGAGAGACAGAGTGCAGATGAGGGAGGGGCAGAGAGAGAGGGACAGACAGAATCTGAAGCAGGCTCCAGGCTCTGAGCTGTCAGCACAGCACCCAATGCAGGGCTTGAACCCACGAACCATGAGATCATCACCTGAGCTGAAGTTGGATGCTTAACTGACTGAACCACCCAGGTACCCCACTTTGCCATTCTTCTAATCGAGCTTTTTGGTTTTTTTACTAATGAGTTACAAGAGTTCTTTATATATTCTAGATACATAGTTTATCAGGTACATTATTTGCAACTATTTTCTCCTGTTCTGTGGGTCTTTTCACTTTCTTAATGCCCTTTGAATCTTTTTACTAGTTTATTATCTGTAGGATATATAGTGTTGTCTCCTTTTACATTCCTACTATTGATAATTTCTGTACTTGTTATTTTATCTTGATCAGTCTTATTAGAGATCTAATAATTTTACTAAGTGAGCCATTTTGGTTTTATTTTATTCTAACAATTCTTAAAAAAAATTTTTTTAATGTTTATTTATTTTTGAGACAGAGAGAGACAGAGCACGAGTGGAGGAGGAACAGAGAGAGAGAGGGAGACACAGAATCTGAAGCAGGCTCTAGGCTTTGAGCTGTCAACACAGAACCCCACACGGGGCCCCAATGAGCTGTGAGACCATTACCTGAGCCTAAGTCAGACGCTTAACCGACTGAGCCCTGCAGGCTTCCCTATTCTTCTTCTTCTTTTTAATTTTTTTTTTAATTTTTTTTTCAACGTTTATATTTATTTTTGGGACAGAGAGAGACAGAGCATGAACGGGGGAGGCGCAGAGAGAGAGGGAGACACAGAATCGGAAACAGGCTCCAGGCTCTGAGCCATCAGCCCAGAGCCTGACGCGGGGCTCGAACTCACGGACCGCAAGATCGTGACCTGGCTGAAGTCGGACGCTTAACCGACTGCGCCACCCAGGCGCCCCTCTTCTTCTTCTTCTTCTTTTTTAAATGTTTGTTTGTTTTTGAGAGAGAGAGAGACAGAGCACAAATGGGGGAGGGGCAGAGAGAGAGAAGGAGACAGAATCTGAAGCAGGCTCCAGGCTCTGAGCTGTCAGCACAGTGCCCCACGCGGGGCTTGAACTCACAAACCGTGAGATCATGACCCAAGCCGAAGTCGGACAACCAACAACTGAGCCACCCAGGTGCCCCAAGTTTTATTTTATTCTAAATGTCTGTTTATGTCTGCTTTATCTTTCACTGATTTCTGCTCATTTATTATGATTCATATATTATTTACATTCATTTACTACACCAATTAATTCAATAATACCAATTATATTGAATTATTATTCATTTATTATTTACATGTTTTTTATTCCTAATCATTTATTATACATTCTTTTTAGTACCTTGGATTTAAACTCTTGAGATTAAAGTTTTAGACCAATAATTTTTAACCTATCTCCTAAATGCATGCATTTAAACTATAAATTTCCTTCCAAGCATTGCTTTAGTTACATCACCATTTTAGATGTGCTTTCATTATTTCTCATTTTAATATTTTCTTTTTTTTTTTAATTTTTTTTTTTAACGTTTATTTATTTTGAGACAGAGAGAGACAGAGCATGAACGGGGGAGGGGCAGAGAG